TGGAAAGATCCACCATTTTTGATGGGAAAACTATGGAAAGATCCACCATTTTTGATGGGAAAACTATGGAAAGATCCACCATTTTTGATGGGAAAACTATGGAAAGATCCAGCATTGTTATAGCTGGGTAAATCAACTATTTCGACTGGGCCATGTTCAATAGTTATGTTAGTTTACCAGAGGGTAATGTTGTGCGTGTATAGATGCATACAGATTTTTTTAAAGATATATGATGATATATGATATATTGGTATAAGATGAAAATTGATATATACTGGTAGAGAGATTTAGGTATAAAGAAGATAAAGAAATGTGTATGTAGAACATGTGGTGATTACTGACATAAGTAAGATGTTCTGAAGCAGTGTTGTCTCACGTTTGTCTAGATCTACCTATCATATTATATTGAATTAGTTGATTTATCATATTCCCAAATTAAGCTAACACCATGTTGCTAGGTATGGCTCAGCAGCATACTCCACACAAGTGTTTATTTTCATTCCAACAAGTAATAAGTTCAACTTGTTTCACCATGTTGTGAAAAAATCGTTGTTAACACTAAATTTCTATCTATTTGTTTCACCAAATATCGGATTTTGAGGCATCCTCTAGACCATCAACCTAGACACAGGCTCAGTGGCTCGTGCCTTTACCGGAGAACCTCTCCGAGATCGATGCGATGACTATTGGCACGGCCGGCTTTACAGCTGCCTTGTGCGTCAAGGCAATGGAGGAGCTGCTAGGGCGGTAGGTCTCATGTCCAGGATCTATGGGGGGGTCCTAAAATGGGGTTACCCCCAAATCGATGATTTATAATGGAAAATCCCATGAACATGGATGATTCAGGGATACCCGGCATTTCTGGAAACCCTCAATATATCTCGTGAGCCCAAAAAAAAGATAGAAAACACGTTTCCAGGATGTTGCAAGTTGTAGGTCTCATCAATCATTTCCATGTTTCCAACTTTCCTATCTACGGTGGTTGCTATGTATATATATATATATTATATAACTATATAACTGTTTGAATTCTGAGACTTGCTGAAGGACAAATGTATCATAATATGGCATTATGCTACGATCAAGTTTCCGAATCGATTGCTATGACAAAAAATGCTGCAGACTAATCACTATCACATCATAGAGCCCAGACTTCAAAATCTTCTGACTTCATTGTCTTCAGGATCTGTCAGACTTCAGAATCATCACTAGCATCAAAAAGCCACAAGACCAAGCCTGAAAAGCACAGTGACTAGTAAATGCTCAATGCGTGTGTCTATTCGCTGCACATCAATGATGATGGTAGATGATGATGTGGTTGTTTTCATATGGAACTGATACGGATTACATTTTGTAGGACTGTATGTGAAATTTATATACTGGTGTCATGATTGTGTACAGTACCAACAAAAACATAGCAATGTAATTTACCAATAGTTTACCACTATATCAAATCATCACGACATCCGACAGGCGGAATTTCCGTTTTGTGTCTTCCTTTGGTGGGCAACGTTCCAGCCACAGCTGTGCAACGTTCCACCGTCCAGTAGGACACGGGTTTCAACAAGAGCAAACCCATCCTGGTCACTGGCGCCGATGGTGGTGTGGGCTCGGTGGCGGTCTATCTCCTAGCGCAGAAGGGATTCCAAGTTGCGGCCTGTGCCCCGGAGGGTCTGGGGGGGGCCCGGGAAACATGTTGTAATATGGGTATGGATCAGAAGCTATAGAAAATTTGAGGGAATGATCGGATGAGCATCCATGAATCGATCAGGTTTTTTGACACATGGCCAGATTGGCCCCAAATGATGGATTTTCGACAGGAGTTGAGAGAATAGCATCTTTGAGATCATTGCACCACTCGCTCTTGCCCCTGACTCCTTGACATTGGTTTCTGTGTTGATTTTTTAGGCGGCAACTATCTTCATGGATATGTCATGATGGATAGATGTGGATGTAGAATGCCAAACAATAACAAGGATCAGTAAACTTCTGGGCCGTTTGATTCACTGGGGACTACCATGTGTACAGCCATGAATATCGCTGTTTGGGGATTCACGCCCGATCCTGTTCATCAACCAGGGTTTTTTAATGATCCCGCGTGGACATTCCAGCTGTCCAAGACTGAGGTATTGTACCCAAGAAATCAATTGTTTACCGATCATTGGCTTATCATATCTTATCTGGTTGGTGGTTTGGAACATTTTTTATTTTTCCATATATTGGGAATAGTCATCCCAACCGACACATATTTTTCAGAGGGGTTGAAGCCACCAATTACTTATCATATTTTATCATCTGGTTATTTAACATAGCCATGGAAAGATCCACCATTTTTAAGAACGGTAAACCATCTATCTCAATGGGCCATGGCTTTCATGGCTATGTTCAATAACCAGAGGGTATCATGTGTTTTTCCTCTGTCAAAATTGCTAGAAGTGCTATGCCCCCATGAACTTTGTCCTCATCTCCTCATGGCCCCAGGTACCCGTTTCAAAGACACAGAGCCCAGAAGCTCGTCCTGGCATGAACACAGAGTACCTCAAAATCCTACAGTTCATCATAGTTTTATCATGTTTTAGATGTGTTTAGTTAAATTTGCAATGATTTATGACATATCAACTATTCATCAATAATTCATCGCAGTTTTACTCATCCATCAATACATGAAACTTTGACCGGATACCCCCAGATTTTCAGACACGGCTTCCCGCTGGGACCTCGCTGAACGCACCTGAGGATTGAAGAAGTTGGGTGCAACTGAAGTCATCGGCGCCTTAAGCACGGATAGCAAGGCCCTGGACGAAGAGAGATGGGGAGGAGCCATTGATGTCGTCGGAGGCTGGGAGCCTCCGGGTGGAAAGCTGTGTACGGACTGGTATGACTTGGATGCCGAAGCTTTGGAAAAGTTGGGAAATCGTGGGCTTGGCCAACTAGCACTGCAATTCGCTATAAAAGAGTAGAATGTTCAATAATGTTTATATATAATTATACAAGGCTATAATGATCTATACAATCTATGTATACATGTATATTTTTGTCTATGTCTGTTTATTGACCTACCGGCAGGTCCGACCATTCCGACCATTGCCTCACAGATGGCCTATGGCTGCAGCATTGCCAGTTGCGGCGTGGCTGGAGGGCCTGCCATTAAGACCACGGTGTACCCCTTCATCATCCGAGGTGCCACGGCTAGCGGTCGTGAAAATTAAGGCCAAAATATGTCAAAATGTGTCGAAATAAGAGTGAAAAAAACTGCTTGAGAAAAGATATCGTCTATAAAAGAACTCGATTCTTGTGGATGATTCGTGGGATGCCACAAATCCCCCTCGAACGGTGGAACTGGCTGGTTTTTGGAGGTGTGCCGGCCCAGTTCTCACCTCGCGAGGTGTGAAACTATACGGCGTGGATTCGGTCTTTGCTCCTACTGTTCCGGGCTTAGAATGTGCATTGCTCACAAAGGTACCTATACGATCCCAAAAACGATCCAATACCCATAGGATCCATGTATGCTATATATGCTAACATTGGGGGTATATTGATGGTAAATGTTACCATATATATAGCATACATGGATCCTATGGGATATGATCCAATAGGTACCTGTACAAGATGCCCGTTTTCCATCCCACATTGGACCTCCAGAGATCAAACAGCAACTAATATACCCTCTGGTTATGACGAACAGTTTGCCATGGAAAGATCCACCATTTTTAAGGTCGGTAAACCATCTATTTCAATGGGCCATGGCTTCCATGGCTGTGTGAAATAACCAGAGGGTACTACGAAACTTCAAAGACACCATTTTTTCGGCCGGTGTTCACAGCAAAACCCGTGAAACACTTCAGATTGACGTGACCGAGTCGAAACACACCGAGGACGTGCGACAAGAAGTCTGGACGGATCTGGCAAAGGTGCCAACTGCCATTTGGCAAGGGATGCGAACAGAGGCGCGCCATCTGGAAAGGAACAAGTGTATGTGTTTCAAACCATTTCAAGCTTGGGGGATCAAAATGTCCCAAAGATCATGGCAGTAAACATCTTTAAACTATGCAGAGCTTCACGGTTTCAGGTTGGTGATTTTGTTTTCCGCAGCCCCCATTGTCTATTTGTCTCACATGCTGCCTTGGAAAACCGGGAACTTTGTTCCGTAAAAACAGCCAAAAACTGGCAACTTTCAATGTCCCCAGAAGGATTTCAGAAACACAGGCACACTTTATCAAATCTGTAGGGAATGTTTCAGGATTGTATGTTTCTGATCTTTTCTGATCCTTGGGACCACTGCAATGCCTCCTTTTTTTTCAGTTGTTGAGAATGACATTGGGGTCCAGCCATGTCTCGTCCCTGTAGGTTGCTTTGGTTGATCTACACCAAGCAGCTTCCCAGATTTTGGCTGGAAGTATTCGTGGCCGTGTGGTGGTGAATGTCAACCTCAAGACTCCGCAGCTGACAGCCGTAGATACTTGTCGTGAAGTGTTTGCTGTGGAAAATGTATGCTGGTGAGAATATGTGAGAATTATATTGTTGTGATGGTACTGTGATCGTTGTCTGATTGTAGTTATATGACTATACATGGCAATATATATATATATAATTATATATAATCTAATATATATATATATACCGTCTATATATATATATACATATTAAATTTGTAAAATGCACCCTGATTCCTGCAGCGGTGCATGTCAGGAAAAGGAGGAGGAAGATTTAGAGGCCTTGAAGAAGAAACTTGGCGATTTGAAGGCAACTGAATGATTGTTTGCTGATACAATGAGGATACCCTTTGGTCATTTGATGTAGCTATGGGAAATCACCAATGTTCAATAGATAAATCATTGTCAGTCATCTATAAATGGGCCATTTTTCATAGCTATGTTCAAGAACCAGGGGGTTATCAACCAGCAATGACAGGGATGCTGTGGAAGCCAATGCCCATGTAGTTCGATGGTGGGCCCGATGTTTTACCTATTGAAAAATGGTGATTTTCCATAGCTATGTAATAAATTCATAGAGATATAGAGGGTCTAGTTTGCTGATAGGATGATTCAATGCGGATATATAATGATATATATATATATACCAACATGATAGGGAATGAACATTTACATATATAATGGATATTGGCATATATTCTGGGGAAACCTTAAATGGACAGTTTATAGAACCATTAGCTAACCAGGTCATGAATCAAGTGTTGCAGGATTTCCATCGGATGGCAGTGACATACAAATCATCCTTTAGGTTAAGGTATTGATATATCTCGTTGCAACCAATACCCTCCGGTAGTTTAGGATAGCTATATCGAAGTCAGCAGCATTTTGTTTGTGTTTAATAGGTGAATAATGCTGAATAAGTCATTTGTAGATGGGCCCCTTTCCATAGCTATGTTGAATTGCCAGAGGGTCAGCAATGGGCTTGGCTCGGAGGTATATATGGAAGAACTACACCATGTTCCTTCAGTTTGGAAGGATACTTCTAGAATGAGTTAGTGGCTAGTTGTTGCTGTGCAAGCTTAAGGATGATTCCATGTCACGAACATGTTTGGAATGCTTTCCAACATAAAATACATAAACATGGCTTGAGAATCCCCCAGCTGTAGCATGTTTGATGATGTTCCGAACTAAACCTTGGGGGATGTCCTGGATGACACCCGAGACCAGCGGTCTCCAGGAAGTGCTTGGAATTGCGCAAGTCCTTGACAGCAAAGTGGCTGGGCCGACTACGGTTTTTTGCAGGTATGGCAACCCCCAAAAACATGCCGAAAAGTAGGAAGCATGGGGAAAACATGGGGAAAACACCAAAAACCATCCTGCAAAAATTGTGTCGGCATCTCTTGTCGGCGATACATAGTTACTTTAAATATCATAGGTATTTGACAAACCATGGACAAAAAGAAATCTCAACCTCTATCCCGTCCCGATCGTTTTCATTCCAAAAACAATCAAAAACCAAATCGAATGATTTAGAATATATACTATACGGGAAATGATACGGACCTCACGTAATCATCTAGAATTTCTAAGAAATTCCAGTCGTGTCCCAGAAATTTCCCATGAAATCTCCCCATCATCTCCGCTTCAGCACCGTCCACGCCGTGCACGCAAGGTCCAAGATAGTCTCTGCAGACCAAGCCATGAGCAGCTTGCAGTCCGAGCTTGGGGATTGAGCTACCAACGAGGGAAATCCAAGGAGATTGAGCAGCCAAAAATGATGAAAAATGTTGATTCGAACGCAGAATCATATGGAATAATGATGGTTTACTATTGCTTTACCATATTATTTGGAGGACTGCGCATCTTGCTGCCGTTGGGACGCCGATGCCAAATTCATGTTCTCACAATGGCAGGTGGCTGTCCAGGCTATTGCGATCACCACCGGGAGATCCGCCAGTGTTAATCCACTGGCAATCCGCTGTTGTTTTTTCGAGGCACTATCTTGGATGGAGACTGCGTCACGAGTGCAGGCTTTGTAGCGACCATGCCCTGCGACTTGGTCGGACTTGGTTTGGTTATTTTGCTTCGATGTAGCTGGTCCAACTTCCAGAATGTGTTGAGTTGTATGGGAAGACAAAAGAAGTAGCCTCTGCTAATCAAGTAAATCCCCCATTCAAAGAAATCACATCAAACCATATCAAATAATTGTGATTCAAACCTGTGATTGGCTACGGCCATTTCAGAATAACTGGAGGGAAAAGCATGGAATCCATATGCGGAAGCTGCACCACAGCGTGTACTGGTATTGATCTGAGGTGATGCATTGATCTCGGCCCTCCGCAAGCGCTCCTTGGCACGACAAATCGTTTTTCATCACCGGGTTGGAAGGGAAAATCTGAAAGAATCGTCAAATCAGGGGGGTTTTGCTGCAGAATTGTCCTGAAACCATTTCTGGCTGGTGGTTTGGAACATTTTTTTTATTTTCCACAATTAATATCGGATAATCCTTCCCATTGACATCCATTGACTTTCATATGTTTCAAGATGGTTATTGCACCACCAACCAGCTGGAAATGGCTTATTGTGTTCCAAATCTCCTATGCAGCGACCCACAGAGGTTCTAATTCTAAGCCTGATATGGCGAACTAATATTCTACGTAGAATATGAATATGGATATATCATGATATATCTATAGAGAATATGGATACCATTTGGATGGCGAAGTAATCCAAGTAATCCAAGTTTGCAATACCGGCCTCAACCAGCCGAGTAGATTTGGGAATGACAGAGGGTGAACGTCACCTGGCTGGTGTCGTTGCAGGTTACGATAAAACTGGGCATCCCAGAAATCTGGAGATGGTCTTTCCGATCATTGTTGCTGGGTGTGGAAAGTCACAAACGGGGGATTTTGCTGAGTCGACTCAGGATCAATCCTTTCCATGGCAGGACACCACCCAGAAACCATGCTTTGGTGGAGAACTTACACGCATTTTGGGAGCATTTCAGGGTTTATACACGGGGGGATTGTTCTTGGATCATGAGACAACCTCACCGGTTCGATATGTTCAAGACTTGAAGACCCTCAACCTTGGATGGTGCCGGCTTTGGCAATTAACAAGTCGAGGAGATGGTGGATACTTGCGCGCTCCTAGTTTTTTGATTTTTTGGATATGCCCACCTGAAATTTGATGTTCAAGAATATCAATGTGACCAACAGGAAATGTGTATATAGAGGGCCACTCGTAGTTTTCAGGTTTGACTGTGTTCCTCATGAGCTTTCAGGTGGACACATTGACACATTGCAAACCGTCCCGGTGAAAATTCACCCTTCCTGAGGTATCTAACCAATCTGACCCAGATGGGTTTGTGTAAAAATGCTGGATTGCCCACCAATATACGGCAATCTTTCTGTGGAAACTGATGAATAAACTACTCCAAAACGAGCGTTTTTTTCACAGGGGAAATGATGATAAGTTGCTCCAGAATGGCTGCTTTTTGTCCAATCCATTTACCCTCTGGTAAACTAACATAGCTATGGAAAATCACCATTTTCAATGGGTAAATCCACTATAAATGGCCATGTTCAATAGCTATGTTAAATTACCAGAGGGTAATATTGATGATCCATTCCCAAAACCCAGAAACCCCGCAAAGTGGGGTAGATCTCTTGGAGTCCAAATCTCTTCAGACACAGATAGAAACACACATCTTTCAGTTTTCATGGGGAAAATGCATGAAAAATGCTCATAAACTCCGCCAAAATGGCTGATGGCCGGGTTTTTAGATCCATGTAGATCCATTCTGTATCTTGTTTAGATCCATTTTCTGATCTCCCTAGATCCATTTCAGTGCCTAGGTTGGCGACCGCGAAGGTCGAGGTACAGAGCCCATCACACCGATGGTGTCCAAGGCCATCTTTGGATGGACCGATGTCGCATGGCGGATGCCGCGCTTGTCTCGGTTGATGAAACCAGGGATTTTCCATCGGGGAATTTGAATTTGACCATCCCTGGATGGGAATTCAATGGGAATTTATCCTGGGTGGTGGTTTGGAACATGGCTTTTATTTTTCCATATATTGGGAATGTCATCATCCCAACTGACGAACTCATATTTTTCAGAGGGGTAGGTCAACCACCAACCAGGGGAATTTATCTATGAAATAACCTGAGCCATGAACATTTCAGAAGAAAAACACACTGAGTTTCGTTGCTGCAACCCGATGTTTTGGGTATTCGCAGGGATTCGAAACATCAAAATCATCGGATGTGTTGTCTGGGTTTGACCATCAAAATTCTGGGGATATCATTTTTCCAACTGATGGTTGATAGGTTATGGGGATTATGGTACCTGGTAAATTGCGGTAATTATTGCAACCCATAAGAGGGATATGTTTTTTTCTATGTCAGCCAACCAGTACTGTGGAATGGGTTGAAAGGGGAATGGTGTTCATGGTTCATGTAACACTCATCAGCTCCGAAAAAATTCATCACGATGGTTTTAGTGATTTTCTAACAAATCAGAGTCGGGACGCTTAGTTGCGCAACTGATTGCCAGTGTTGACACAGTGGCAACACCCAATTCATCAACATATGCAATCAATAAGGTGTTGCTATATCAACCATAAGTGATATATTGCCAATAGGCCAATAGGGGGCTTAATCATTAACACAGTAGCACTTTGTTGCCTAGTTGTTCCTAGGTTGAAGCTTAGACAGGCACCTTAAAGGACATCAACTTTTCCCATGACATCGAGTCTGGTGGTGAACCACCGACCAGTCGAAGCCACAAAGGGTTGGTCGTGTCAGCAGACCATCCAATTCTTGGGGTGAATAGTTTGAGAATTCATCAGACCATCAGATATCATTTGACCATATTTGACCATCAGAACTTACAAACGCCCATTCGAATGTAGCAAACCATGGAATATCTGGCGAGTTCCGATGATGGCCAAGTGATTTGACCCTCCGGGAGGGTGGAAAACTCCAGGTCTGTCCCGCATTCACCAACGCCGTTCTCAGTGGGAAGATTGAAGCTTGGAACAGCAGATTTCGGCGTTTAGAAATCTGGAACTTCAATTGGAATCACATCTCACATGTGTGTGTGTGTGTGATGTAGCGTGATGTTGATACTTCACATGAATCTATGTTGATGTGAAAAAGGAATACTTGCGATGTATAATACTGTACATTTTTTGATGCTACATCCCAAGAATTGGACCTGCGGAGGACTCTTGAGGACTTGCCGGTGTTCGGCATAGTTTAAGAGGCCAACATCATGTGTGGATCATGGTGTTGGCAGATCCAAATGCCGGCAGATGATGCAGCAAGTTCAATTAGCGTTGCAGCGGTTGATCATCCGCCGTGGCGTCAGTCAGCTTTGCCACAGAGAAATTCTTCATGACTTTAGGATGAGGGCTCCAAGCTTGAAATCGCCATCATCATAAGAAAGGTGTGCCATCTGCCCATCAAAGGGGAAGACCATTCCCTCAACTTTTGTCGGGCTAGGAAAATCTAGGAAAAGGACGCCCACAATGATGGGATGACCAGCTGCAACACGACCATGGCACATGGCTACGTCACCGAAGCTGGCTGTCAGGAAGCCTACAACTTGCCCATGGGCCAAATCAGCCACATGATTCGATCTTCTGCCAATGGTGTCCCAGGTGGGGACATGTGGGGACCCATGGACCATCATGGACCCACGGTTTCCAATCGGGGATCCCCAACGGTTGGAAAATACGAAAATGGTCGAATGAGTCTGACTTGGACGATTCGGGGGTTACCCCATTTTAGGAAACCTCCAAATAGATCTGGTGATTCGTAGATTCATTGCAAACAAAGTATATAATATTATATAATATTATATAATTAAGAGTCTGTTTGTGCCATACATTTGCAACCATGTTCATAGATTGACGGATAGACAAGATAGACAAGGTGGATACTGATAAGATAGATACGATGGATATGAAATAGGTATGAGAGATAGAATTGGTGGATAAATAGATAAGATAGATCCGCTAGACTGGGCACACGATGTATTAATGATGGACAATTAGATGGAATTGGATAGGTAGCTGGTTGGTGGTTTGGAACATGTTTTATTTTTCCATATTGGGAAGTTCATCATCCCAACTGACGAACTCCATCATTTTTCCGAGGGGTAGGTCAACCACCAACCAGTAGCTATACAGACTTTGCACCTGCTTAGCAGATTGAGCTGCAGATTCTGCAGGTCACCTCTCCAAAGTGGGTTTGCACACCTTCGCCGATCCGCGCAACGGTGGCGGCAAGCGCAACAAGCAAACCACCAAGGATGTGGTGAAGATACAGGTGAGGGGTGAAAACTGGGATGGCTCGAGACCCTAATCTAAACCAACATAGATGTGGAAAGATTGAAAAGCCCATCGTTTCCCGGTCGGAAAACTATCTACAGATGATCTACAAATGGTGGGTTTTCCACATCGATGTTAGTTGACAGAAGGGTACATGAGACCTTGGAGAATGATGGAAAATGGATTACTTGGAGTTGGAAGTGGATAAGTGTCGGTGGGTTATATTATATTACCCACCAGTTAGGTTCAGTTATAACATGTTATAACATGGGGTTATAAACCACCAAGAAAGATCTCTTGGAGTGGGATTAAACGTGAAGTGGATTACATCATATTACAGCCCATTTCAGAAGAAACCGGGCTCTGAAGTGCTGACCCACAGCTTGCAACTTCTTGGCTGGCTAGCTGGCAGATATGCAAATGAATCACTAGGACACTAGGAAGCCGGGGCTACAAAGGAACGTGGCATCCAGCATTCATGAATGTCATCCTTCAAGAGGAAGTGTGGGTATATGGAGGTTTCCTAAAATAGGGGTACTCCCAGTCATCATCCATTTTTTGTTGGTATGCTCATGTATTTTCCATGAAATCAACCATCCAGCTATGGGGGTACCCCGGCAGGAACTGGAGGGTGAGGACTGCTCGGGACCTGCTTGGCATCCCGAACAAAAGCCAACCAATGCACTTGGTCCATCTTGGTCCAACATGTCCGCCGTTGAATTGCCGGAGTTGCCTGAAAATAGGGTGTCTATATATATATATATTCTTTAAATAATCACCAACAATCACCATCTATCATCTATCACGATTTTCCATGTCGGTATGTCCCAGTTACCGAGGACCCAACGGTCATCAAAAAGCACACGTTCGATCGCACAAGTCATCGGTATTGGAACGCTGGAGATTTGGGTTCCACAACCATGGCCCATTCCTTAAGAGGTTATACCCTACCCAGGTATCCCAAAGAAAATTCGCCCAGAAATGGTCGTCACCAGCTGGGGAGTTGTCTCTACATCCCCAATCACCGTTATTGCTGGGGATAGCCCACAATTTGGTGGCTATATCAGTTCCAGCCCCAGTGGTCTGGTGGCAACATATTAAATCATAGTGAAGATGCTGGGGAAGCCACTGGCACTGACATATTGAAGCCCTATGTTCAGATACTAAATTCATGGTTTAAAAGCTGATTGTCCCCTTCAGAACTGCCATGTACAGCTGTAAATCCACCGTTTTTGGACTCAGAACTCAATTATCTTGGTTTCATAACATACCTCATTCTTTCTTCAATCCTGTTAAATCCCCCGTGGTTGGACATATCTCCTAAAATCTCCCGGTCAAATTAACAAATGGTTGGCTTCTTTTACCCTGCATAATCATGTTGCTCAAATCGGCTTGGCTTTGACCTCAGATGGTCATCAAAAGCCACAAAATCTGATAAATCCAAGGAATTTGATGCTTCAATCTCCCCTTTTTGCTGAGGTTTTTGACCTGTTTTCACCCCTTCGAAATTTATGGATCCATCCTGGCACCGGCGCGTACCGGTGGAGGAGTACATCTTTTACCCCGCCCCAAAGATCACCGTGGCGCTGCTGCGCGGCTCACTGGCGGATGAAGCGGGGAACATCTCCTTCGAACGCGTGGCCTGGTGGAGCATGTGCTGGTTGCGAGATCATTGGGAGATCATGGGAAAATGCTGGGATACGATTATTTGGCATGAGATTTAACGGAATGAAATAGATTTCACCAACAAGAAAGGGAAGACGATTGTGATTCTAATTACCATCAAATTCATCAAATTGGGATTTTATGGGATTTGACCAACAAATTGGTGTGGTATAAAACCAAGCACAACAGGGATACAATGATTAGTGGATCTGAAACGGGGAAAAAAGTAGTCCCTAAACAACCATACACAGGGGTATAGCACGACATTTCCAGAGACCCTCAGAAGTGGCCATTACCAAGGGCTGAAGTGTACGGCACAAGAGGATGAAGGAAATGGCTGCTAAAGTATAATGATTAATGGCTGACAGGAAATAGCTGAAGTGATTAGATCAATCAAAATGTGTGTGTGTGTGTTGATGTACTACAAAAGTTGCTGGTATAATATCTTCCAGCCTGATGATCGCGCAACTTGCCAGCACAAGACGAAAATACATCTAAAACCTCAGTGGCAGAAATAGTTGTAGGTAGATTTAGGTAGTTCGCACCAGTTCGCAAGTTCCCCCCAAAACCATCTATTAAATTCTATTAAGATGTTCCCCATCAGTGCCTGCGCCGAGGAACCGTTGTTGTTGGATTCTTTAAATCAAGCCATGGCTGCAAAGAACAATGGTGGCCTGGTGGTGGTGCAGGCGAGGGAGAGGCGGTTCGCTTCACATCTTGGTTTGGAATTCGAAAAAAAGGTACTGAAGCTCCAGATCCACAAAAAATCCGCACTTATGTTTTCTTTGGAGTTTTGATGTTTTTTCTTGGAATCATTAGGGTTGGCCCCAAAAAAAACAGAAACGGAGGTGCAGCGTGTGGTGCCCGTCGGAAGTTTGGACCACAGACGGGTTCACATCCCTGGAATGTTGGTAGATGCTTGGTGAAAATTGCCATCTAAAATTTACTATGATTTACTGGGTTTACTGGGTTTACTGTGTGTGAAAATGCGGATTTACTATGATTTACTGGGTGTTCACCATCGAAAATTGGGATTTGATGGAATCTAACGAACTAAAACGGGTGTGTTTCAAACCCACGAGAAAACATCATTTCATTCACTGGTGAAACATCATTAACCCTGCTAGCAGTACTAGTCAAGTTGGCCTTTTTGGGGGCAGATCCAATTTTTCACCCACACACATCATGGATCCTTCGATGCAGTTATGTGGAGTGCTCGTAATTTGACCAGGCAAGACATCAGTGTAGAACTCCGTTCCCGTGGGGGCGAATATTTCACACTTTGCCAACAGAGACATGTTTTGATGCACAAGCAAAGGAGGAGTCATCATTATCAGATCCCAAGGGGGTACAGGATAAACATGATTTGGGCCCAAGATTTGATGGTCTCTTCTTCTCTGTCTAAAAAAAGCCAAGGATATGGTGGTTGTGGCCAACAGCAAGGAGCATGCCGCGGTGACCTATGCTGCGGCGGATGAAGAGCCATTGGGCGAGTTCGGCGTTGGTCAATGTGAAATGATCCCAGTAATGTATATTAATGTGATCAACCCAGGAAATTTTAGTGGTTGCATGGCAGTATCACATTAATGGGTTTATAAATGTTTATAACATGTATCAGCATGAGAATCCTATGATCGCTCATCATATTGAAAAAAAAATGGTGGAGTTTCATACCTTCCATCACTTGGTTTTTGAATGTTATTGAATCTAGGGGCACCAGTGATGCTAGTGGCTTTTTGGCGGCATTGGTTTAGGCCAGATGCAGCGCGAGTTGCTGTGGAGTCGATTGTGTTATACAATCTTATACAATCTTAATTATTGTGATATTATATATTGTATAGGCTATAATTATATATATATAATTATCACAGTATATAATACAATATATAATTATATATATATATATTGTGATAGTATCTATAGGTATAGGCTATAGGCTGCTATAGATAATAGATACATTCTAGGATGCATCTTGATGTTGTCCTTTTGGTGGCTTCAAGTATATCTTTCTTCCCACTTTTCCAGCGTGGCTTGCAGCCGAGGTATGATCCAACCCTGTCCGGAGAGTTGAAACCACTGCAGGCAGCGCAAATGGAGGAGCTTCCTTGGGAAGGCGGGGGGATGCCTTCGGGATTTGACCATTGAATGCCGGGATTTCACTAGTAAAGTAGCGTGGATGTTACATGAGTTAACCAACAAAGTACGGTGTGAATGTGAATATAGATAGACAAATAGGTGGATGGATGGACGGATGGAAGATGGATGGACGGATGGATGGATTTTGGGAGGGTGGGTAGGTGGTGGTGAATGAACATATAGGTTAATAAATGAATAAATAGATCGATAAACTCAGACAGATAGACAACGAAGAACAAATGACAAATGACGCCGCGACTTCACAGGCAAGTAACGTGAATCATCCGCAAAATAGTTTGATGGGGACATGTGTAAATTACAACAATCATCTAAGTCATCCAGCAATAGGAAAGTGGATCGAGTCATATCCGATATGACATGAACTGTTCTGTGAGGTCCTTGTTAGTATTATGTGAGGTTTTGAATCAATCAGATGTTCAGTTGGGTGTTTCCTCAAACAGGGGTAGATGGTGGCAAAAAAACAACCAAAAAATAAAGAGATATAAAGAGTAATCTCATCCTCCTAACATTCAATACTCCCATATCCTCCAAAAATGAACAGATCCTATACAAAAATATACACGACCATGGGTTTCTACCCTCTGGTAAACGTTTACATAACTATGGAAAATCACCATTTTTACTGGGTAAATCCACTATAAATGGCCATGTTCAATAGCTTTTTCTATGTTTACCAGAGGGCTATTTATATGGTAAGCCATGGGGAATGGATGATGAATCGCCGGCGAGTTCGCCGAGGTCCCCGCAATGCGTGTCAGAAGCGGGTCATGGCGCACCGAGCGCTTTTCGAGGTCAAGAAGCCCAAAGCGGTGCCTCGGTGGTGGGCCAGTGAGCCATCCTACCATTTGATGGGATATATATATATATTCTATTCTTATATTACTATATTATATTAGATTATATTATGTTATATTAGATCATATTATATTCTGTATAATAAATATATAATAATATAATATGATATAATATAATATAATATAAAATAATATAATATATATATATATATGTACTGTATATATTTTGATGTGGATCTATGATCTGTAGGGTCTGGAATGGGTAGACCTCCAGGACTCCTGTAGCTAGGGTCTTTTTTACTTTCAGACCCAAAGTAGACCCTGCCGATTATGTGTATTCCAGACCCTGTGGTGCCCATGTTGACACGATTTATGTTCCCGAAATGGAAGCTTAAAGTGTCCAAAATTCGGTTCCCGAAATGGAAATGGAAGCCTAAAATGTCCAAAAATTGGTGCCCGCATGGAAACCTAAAATGTCTCAAAATTGGTCCCCGAAATGGAAACCCAAAATGTTTAAAAATTGGTTCCAGAAAAGTTCGCCTAAAATGTCTAAGAAATTGGTTCCCAAAATGGAAGCCTAAAATGTCTAAGAAATTGGTTCCCGAAATGGAAGCCTAAAATGTCTAAGAAATTGATTCCCGAAATGGACGCCTAACATGTCTAAGAAATTGGTTCCCGAAATGGAAACCCAAAATGTTTAAAAATTAAATGGAAGCCTAAAATGTCTAAGAAATGGTTCCTTGCTGCCTCCTTTGATTGAAAGGTTTTGCAGGTGTGACAGAGTGTACCCTAAATATGATACGTAACATGATCCCATTCAAGACCCCATGCTAGACCTTCATGATATGGCAGCCATCAATGTGTGTTAATCTACGCGTTTCAGAGGGGACGGCCTTGCCGTCCGCAAATAGCATAAGATCTATGGTCAAACAAGAAAATCACATGAAACCCTCAGGTAACCTCTACCCTCTGGTAAACAAACATAGCTATGGAAAATCACCATTTTTAATGGGTAAATCCACTATAAACGGCCATGTTCAATAGCTTTTTGTATGTTTACCAGAGGGTAAAAGACCTGGGTTTTAGGCTCATGTAAAATCCAAGGTTACTACCTAGTGGCTGAGAGTATGATAAAACTGTATAGCTAACCAACAATAGTTAATTACAAAGGGGGGTTCTCCCAACCATTATATGGGTATGGATCAATACCTATTAATACCATTTTTAGGGGGATGAACATCCATTTACCAGCTATTTTGATGTTCACCAGGGGTACAAGGTTTTGACACACTGCCATATATATATATATTAATACTGGTTGGTGGTTTGGAACTTTTTTTATTTTTTCCATATATTGGGAGTGATCATCCCAACTGACTTTCATATTTGTTCAGAGGGGTAGGTCAACCACCAACCAGTGTATATATATATATTGTTTTTCATATAGGTGTAGACACAAAGGGAAGATAAAAATGTTTTTATGTAGTTTTGGTTCTATATCTACTCAATTTACCACCCCTTGTATCTGTGGTGTTGGGAGCAGCCCTGATAAACCTTGTATTTGGGGATGATGATTACCATCCATAAATGTATGGAAACGCTGGGAATGCTTTATTATTGGGTTTACCGCCTTCATCACAAAGCGGTTGCCATTCCTAATCCTTTTCAGCGCATCAATTATAGCTTTGGGAATCCTGAAGATTCATCAACCGTAGTTTTATGAAAGCAATGCTGGCATTGCTTGTTTTAAGGGAACTTCGCAGGAAAACATGTTTTTTCAACCATCATTTTCTTGGGGGGTCTTGTAGATTATGCTATACAAGGACATGGAGAAACATGGAATCCCGAGGAAAGGCCAATAAACACCCAAAACATGAGGGATATCACAAAATATCTATAAGAGATACTTGGGGATTGAAGTAACAGAAGCGTAGATAGTCCCAACACTAAAGGTGTTGCCCACCTTTAAGGGTTTTGGACGATGTGTGGGATCTCCAGGTGTTGAACTTCGGCGTGGGATCTCCTGAGAGTCTCGGCTGATGTTATTCCCCACCTGCCAGGTGAGGGTTGTTAGATTTTATGTCAGTTGCCTCCTCCTCCTCCTTCTCCTCCTTCTCCTCCTCCTTCTCCTCCTCCTCCTCCGCCTCCTCCTGCCTCGTCCTCCTCTCCTCCTCCTCCTCGTCCTCCTCGTCGTCCTCGTCGTCCTCGTCGTCCTTGCTCAACTGCGACCGCGATCCACAGTGTTCTCTGCCGGACCTCAACCACGACCATCCACGCCCAGTGTTCCCTGCCGGACCTCAACCACGACCATCCACGCCCAATGTTCCCTGCCGGACCTCAACCACGACCATCCTCGCCCAGTGTTCCCTGCCGGACCTCAACCACGACCATCCACGCCCAGTGTTCCCTGCCGGACCTCAACCGGAGTATCCACCACGCCAAGTGTTCCCTGCCGGACCTCATGTAGGAAGATATGGGACAAAGAATGTGCAGAAGAAAGTTAGAAAGAATGTCAGAAAGAATGTCAGAAGATATGCCAGAAGATATGCCAGATAGAATGCCAGATAGATAAGATGCCAGAAGATATTGCCAGATAGAGATGCCAGATAGAATATATGCCAGAAGATATGCCAGATAGATACCAGAAGATATGCCAGAAGATATGCCAGATGCCAGAAGATAGATATGTCAGAATATATGCCAGAAGATATGTCAGATAGAATGCCAGAAGATATGTCAGAATATATGCCAGAAGATATGCCAGATAGAATGCCAGAAGATATGTCAGATAGAGTGCCAGAAGATATGCCAGATAGAATGTCAAATAGAATGTCAGAAGATATGTCAGATAGAATGCCAGAAGATTTGCCAGTAAGAAAATGTATAAATGTCATGGTGGGGATCACACGAAGTAAAGTAATTTTGTCTGGGAGGTTTTTGCCGAAAAGTCCAGAAAAATCGATATCTGGTTGGTGGTTTGGAACATGAATTTTATTTTCCCCAATAGTTGGGATGATGATCCAATCTGACCAATTTTTTTCGGGTTGAAACCACCAATTAGATATGCTGGGCGGGAACTATCCATAACCATCCTCAACCCTCGGCTTTCGCCATGTTTTGGGGCCTCGCAAAGTTTCATGACCTGTTCCCAAAAAATATACGTGAGTCTTGGACAGAGCCTTGGGCCCAAGTGGTACACCCACAGTACCCTATTTGGTTCATTGGTAGCAACTCATAACGGAGCCTCAACGGAGAAATCATCGCTGCGTGGTCTGCTGGCTCTTTATATGATACCCTCTGGTAATTTAACATAACTATTGAAAATCACCATTTTTAATGGGAAAATCCACTATAAATGGCCATTTTCAATACCAGAGGGTAATTCACCAGGGATGAGGAGAATCCTACCATAAATTCCTATTAAAATGAGGTTCCATTCATCATTGACATCCAAATCTGTCCCGAAACCCCCACGTTCAACTCATAGCTCTAGGTTTGTGGCGACCATGATGGCCAGTCATGGGCATCAGACTCCCAGCTCAATGGCTTGGTATGGCTTGGTCCTGGGCATTGCTGGTGGAATGAGGAACCCAAGTTTCTGACCCAAACCCAAGATCCATCATTTGACATCGTTTCACCTGTGGTCTGCTTGAAAATATATTTTGGTTAGGCTATTCCGCATTCTTGGTGCTATTGCTGTAAATGTCCATGTTTACAGATGTTGTTCACAGGTTGAAAACGTGTCCTGGACTGTCCGATCCGTTCTTGGATGTTGTTCAAACGGCCCCTCGCAAGCGTTGCGAGATATCAAGAATTCTGGCCCAAGCCCCAATTGGCTGCTGTCATGTGTTGTTTTCAACGAATTTCAATCATTTCAATCATCATTTGGGGATACCCTCTGGTGAACTAACATAGCAATGGAAAATGGCCATTTATAGTGGATTTTCCCATGAAAAATGGTGGATCTTTCCATTGCTATGTTAGTTTACATGGCTACAAGTAGCTGGAAAATCCCCCATGAAAATCAGATGATCTTCCCAGCTACCGCCAAAAATGTTCAGGGATTTTCCAGCCGTTTCATGACATCGGAGGGAAAATCCATTTAATAACACTTTAATAACGTTTAATAACCATCATCAACTGTCATTAACCATCATTAACCATCATCAACTATCATTAACCATCATGAACCATCATGAATTATTATTAACATTCATTAACCATCATTTTTCTCCCATAGGCTTGCAGCCACCAGCCGTTCAGGAATCCTGACCTGAAGGGTTTCATGGCCACTGTGGAGAGCGGTGTTTGGGGTGGCGTGCCACAGGGCGGCCTCCGCTTCGGGACCAGCACCGGCTTTGAGGTGGGCTTTGTCCCACTTTCATTGAATGTAGCTGGTTCACCACCATGATCACCATGATGATGGGAATTCCAAGATCCAATTTATGGAGGTACTGTACCGTATTTTTGGCCATATTTTGTGGGGATATCCCCTTACATAGGCCTTACATATGGTAGGTACCTCCAATTTAGGTTCCTAATATGGCCAGTGATGGCACCGCATCAGGCTATTGTTCCCACCAGCACCATGATGGATTTCTACGTGGGCGGTGGTATCGACTATGCCTTCCTTGGCGTGGGAGAGGCGGGCCTTAAAAACCCCAGGAAGACCTCAGGGCCTCTCCATAGCGCACTCATTGATCCTGGTTTTTTTCAATGGATTGGTTTAAGGGAAAATCTACAGAAAAACCAGGGGTTTCCGGTTAAAATTTTCCCATCATCCAGTTCTATGATTTTTGGTCAGGCCGATGCTTGTGGCAACGTCAATGTCTCCAATTTCGCGGGACGTGTTCCCGGCGTAGGAGGTTTCGCGGATCCTCGGAGAGTCACTTTTTGATCAAAATTTGGAGAGAAGCTGCAGCCATACACTAATCAGGTATTGCTATTATTATTATCAAATTATCAAATTATCAAATTATCAAATTATCATCATCATCATCAACAACATCAACATCAACATCGTCAACATCATCGCCCCCTCTCAACTTAAGGGATCAAAAATCCACCCCCTCTGACAAATATGGTGACTGGCTTCATAACATCAATTCTCAGCATTATTATCAACATCAATTCTCGTTCTCCATTATCCTATATACCCATATGGCTATGGATCAATACCTATACATACCATTTTTAGAGGGATGAACATCCATAAATCCCAGCTATTTTGATGTGAACAGAAGGGGTACTATTGGTTTTGACCCACTGCCATATGTTGGTTTTTCAGTAAGACATCTTAATCATCAGATTTTAAGATATCCTCCGAGAATCAAACGTGGCAATGGACAGTATCTCCACAGAACCAGGATCATCCTCAGCCCACTGCACCTGCGCCCAGGACATTTCCGCCAATGCGAAGACGCTGATCTTCACGGCCACCTTGACCTGCGGCAACTTAGTCACCAAGGTGGGACGGAAGCTGCGGAAGGAAGGGATCCATATACCGGACGAGTAAAGTTGTATATAATATCATACATATAATGTCATGTGTATATATATATATATATATCATATAATAATATACAATATGAACAAACTCATATAATGTATTTCATATTGTATGATACGAAATGCTATGATATGATATCATGTAGTATAATTGTTGCACCCTTTCTATCCCCGTCTATCTTCTGAGAGGTACAATAGTATATGTTTTTTATATGTGTGCACACAGTATGTCATATATCGAAATGGGGAAATTCTGGTTTATTCATACGGGATAACTATGAGATATTGATGGGAAATGATGGGATATTCATTGGAAATCATGGGAGATTTTCATAATTTTCATGGGACATTGATGGAAAATGATTGAACATGACATGATTGGATATTAATTAACCGCAAATGATGGGAGAATAGCAACATTTTTAGTGGGAAATTGTGGAAGATTTCTGGGAAAATATTGCTGAAATCCTCAATATGAAGTCAAGTCCATACGTATGTGGCTTTGTCTCAGGAGATACCTCTTAAAATTGCCTGTTCATGGGGAAAATGATGACAAAAACCATGAGACTTGGGGGTCCATATCTATCCCGGAATCCCAGACCTGTTTGGTAGGTGCGATGACATATCTGTGATTGCAACTGGTTGACCTGTCATCATGAGGGGAAAATGTGAAAAGATATGAAACCTAGAGCTCAGGAGATACAGATTAAAATCCCACATATCCCATTGGTTGGTGGTTTGGAACATGGCTTTTATTTTCCATAATATATGGCCATTATCCTTCCCATTGACGAACTCATATTTTTCAAGATGGTTATTTCACCACCAACCAGCCATATATTGTCATCATTTCAACTGTTCCTTCGCCACGAAAACCACCTCCGTTCATCACCTCCAGGTGGAGGATGGAAAGCTGATCATCGTGCAGGAAGGCTCCATTCAGAAATTCAAAAAGAAGCATCTGGGCCCAAAGTGGCTGAGAAATCCCCTACAAAATGGTTTAATGGAGGTTTAACCATCAACAAATATGGATTTGATGAGATTGAATGGGAGTATAAATAGGACTATAATTATAGGACAAAATTAATAGTGTTTGTTGATTAGGTGATAATAAAACTTCAAATAGTGATGATATGATACTTGACAGGTTCCCCCCACCAATGGGAAATCCCATATCAATGGACGTTTGTAGCTGGGAAGAATTTCTATAAACTGGTTGGTGGTTTGGAACATTTTTTTATTTTTCAAGGTAATTTAATAATCCCAACTGACTTTCACATTTTTCAGAGGGGTAGGTCAACCACCAACCAGATAAATGATGTTGTTTTTCAGCAAACCATGTTTGATCCCAACCCCTGATCAGTTGATTTTGATGGGTCTTACCATGTCTTGCCTGCCAAAATGGGTTGATATTTCCTAAAGGAATGATTTGTTTACAACCAAAATTGGCTTATAGAAGAAATAGGGTTGGATATGATAAAAGAAATTCTTGGAAACATAAATGAATTTTAATGGAGGTAATCCCATCTGCAGGAACTCCAACCATTCTTCAATGGGTTCTTTTTGGTGACGGCGCCCCTTAATAACGTTCTTTCGTTTGCGTTTCCAAGACGTTGCAACATTGCAATCAACTTCCAAGACGCTTTTGATACGTTGTAACATGTTCTTCAAGTAACTTTCAAGACGCTCTTGATACGTTGTAACATGTTCTTCAAGTACCTTCCAAGACGCTTTTGATACGTTGTAACATGTTCTTCAAGTAACTTTCAAGGCGCTCTTGATACGTTGTAACATGTTCTTCAAGTAACTTCCAAGACGCTTTTGATACGTTGTAACATGTTCTTCAAGTAACTTCCAAGACGCTTTTGATACGTTGTAACATGTTCTTCAAGTAACTTCCAAGACGCTTTTGATACGTTGTAACATGTTCTTCAAGTAACTTCCAAGACGCTTTTGATATGTTGTAACATGTTCTTCAAGTAACTTCCAAGACGCTTTTGATACGTTGTAACATGTTCTTCAAGTAACTTCCAAGACGCTTTTGATACGTTGTAACATGTTCTTCAAGTAACTTTCAAGACGCTCTTGATACGTTGTAACATGTTCTTCAAGTAACTTCCAAGACTCTTTGATACGTGTTAAGCAGTTTCTTCAAGTAACTTCCAAGACGCTCTTTGATACGTTGTAACGCTTTTGATACGTTGTAACAGTTCTTCAAGTAACTTTCAAGACGCTCTTGATACGTTGTAACATGTTCTTCAAGTAACTTCCAAGACGCTTTTGATACGTTGTAACATGTTCTTCAAGTAACTTCCAAGACGCTTTTGATACGTTGTAACATGTTCTTCAAGAAACTTCAAGACGCTCTTGATACGTGGTAACATGTTCTTCAAGTAACTTCCAAGACGCTTTTGATACGTTGTAACATGTTCTTCAAGTAACTTCCAAGACGCTTTTGATACGTTGTAACATGTTCTTCAAGTAACTTTCAAGACGCTCTTGATACGTTGTAACATTTGTTCCTTCAAGTAACTTCCAAGACCTTTTGATACGTGGTAACATGTTCTTTCAAGTCAACTTCAAGACGCGTTTGATCCGTTGTAACTGTCTTCTTCAGTCACTTCCAAGAACGCTTTTGATACGTTGTAACCCAGGTTCCTTCAAGCGTACACTTTCAAGACCTCTTGATACCGTTAACATTCTCTTCCCAAGTAACTTCAAACCTTTGATACGTTGTAACTGGTCTTCAAGTCACTTCCAAGACGCTTTGATACGTGTGAAACATGTGGCTCTTCACAGTAACTTCCAAGACCGCTTTTGATACCGTGTTGGGAACATGTTCTTCAAGTAACTTCCAAGACGCTCTTGATACGTTGTAACATGTTCTTCAAGTAACTTCCAAGACGCTTTTGATACGTTGTAACATGTTCTTCAAGTAACTTCCAAGACGCTTTTGATACGTTGTAACATGTTCTTCAAGTAACTTTCAAGACGCTCTTGATACGTTGTAACATGTTCTTCAAGTAACTTCCAAGACGCTTTTGATACGTTGTAACATGTTCTTCAAGTAACTTCCAAGACGCTTTTGATACGTTGTAACATGTTCTTCAAGTAACTTTCAAGACGCTCTTGATACGTTGTAACATGTTCTTCAAGTAACTTTCAAGACGCTTTTGATACGTTGTAACATGTTCTTCAAGTAACTTCCAAGACGCTTTTGATACGTTGTAACATTTTCTTCAAGTAACTTCCAAGACGCTTTTGATACGTTGTAACATGTTCTTCAAGTAACTTTCAAGACGCTCTTGATACGTTGTAACATGTTCTTCAAGTAACTTTCAAGACGCTCTTGATACGTTGTAACATGTTCTTCAAGTAACTTCCAAGACGCTCTTGATACGTTGTAACATGTTCTTCAAGTAACTTCCAAGACGCTTTTGATACGTTGTTACCTTTTTTTCAAGTAACTTTCAAGACGCTCTTGATACGTTGTAACATGTTCTTCAAGTAACTTCCAAGACGCTCTTGATACGTTGTAACATGTTCTTCAAGTAACTTCCAAGACGCTTTTGATACGTTGTAACATGTTCTTCAAGTAACTTTCAAGACGCTCTTGATACGTTTGTAACATGTTCTTCAAAGTAACTTCAAGAACGCTCTTGATACGTTGTTAAGCATGTTCTTCAAGTAATTCCAAGACGCTCTTGATACGTTGTAACATTTTCTTCAAGAAACTTCCAAGACGCTCTTGATACGTTGAAACATTTTCTTCAAGAAACTTCCAAGACGCCTTTGATACATTGTAACATTTTCTTCAAGTAACTTCCAAGACGCTCTTGATACGTTGTAACATTTTCTTCAAGTAACTTCCAAGACGCTCTTGATACGTTGTAACATGTTCTTCAAGTAACTTCCAAGACGCTCTTGATACGTTGTAACATGTTCTTCAAGTAACTTCCAAGACGCTTTTGATACGTTGTAACATGTTCTTCAAGTAACTTCCAAGACGCTTTTGATACGTTGTAACATGTTCTTCAAGTAACTTTCAAGACGCTCTTGATACGTTGTAACATGTTCTTCAAGTAACTTCCAAGACGCTTTTGATACGTTGTAACATGTTCTTCAAGTAACTTCCAAGACGCTTTTGATACGTTGTAACATGTTCTTCAAGTAACTTTCAAGACGCTCTTGATACGTTGTAACATGTTCTTCAAGTAACTTTCAAGACGCTTTTGATACGTTGTAACATGTTCTTCAAGTAACTTCCAAGACGCTTTTGATACGTTGTAACATTTTCTTCAAGTAACTTCCAAGACGCTTTTGATACGTTGTAACATGTTCTTCAAGTAACTTTCAAGACGCTCTTGATACGTTGT